TAGTGTGTTGTGTGAACACTATTAGTGGGTTGAGGACTTAATGACACTTTTGACTTCTGAACAGATGGTCTTTGTGCCTAACCTAGAAATGGATAAATATGTGGATATTTATTCTGCCTTTCTTGAAACCTATGTATAACTGTGCCTACAGATGTTCGTATAACTTTCTTGATATAACATATATTGGGGGATACATTGCCTACGTCTCTTTCTCAGTTGATCTGTTGAAAGTTCATGTAAGAAAACTGAAAAATTCTATTTCATTTAATTTCATTTTGCTTTGTGTCATTTTTTATTTTTTTTTAGTTTGGGTTTTTTTTATTAATTGAAAGTGACAATAAAAATAAGGGAAACCCCCTACAGCAGGGGTCTCAAACTCAACTTACCTGGGGGCCGCTGGAAGTAGATTCTGGGTGAGGCTGGGCCGCATCAAGTATTCCACCACCGCGGTGGTGGTGGGTCGCTCATCCCGCGTCGCTCCCGGAGGCCGGCCCGGGTGCCGCCGGCGCTTTGAAGGTCGCAGGGCCCTCCCCCATGCCCCGCCCATCCCGGCAATTGGCCCGCGGGCCACAAGTTTGAGACCCCTGCCCTACAGGAATTAAAATATGAACACAATCTATATGTTGGGATGTCTATTTGAGAGGCTGCCAGAGAACTGTCCTCTTTTTGAAGGTATTCTTTATTTGAAAAATGGTCCAATTCCAGTATGAAGTACCAAAAGCAGTCACACTGCATTTCTTCTTCAACTGTAATATGTAATGCTAGGCCCTCACCCATACATATAAATTAGCATGGGCAAATGTGATAAAAATCACTACCTTTTAAAGGTGTCCTCTTTTTTGGGGTATACATTTCTCTTTTGTGGCAGTTTGAAGTGGCCACCCTACTGATAACTTATGATGTTCAGGTACTCATCATGGCAGCCCCCATAGCCATGTCCCCAAGGAGAGATCAAGTAGAACTAGCGACTGAATCAGACAATACAGCAACCCACACTCAAGAGTTGACTGTGCATTGTCATTGGTGAAATATGGCTTATTGTCTCAGTCCAGCTGCACTAACCAGTGACATACAACCCAGGAATATACATAATCCATGGTTTGTTGCTGGGTTGTAAACTGTGGCTTGTTCCCCATGGCTTATTCTCCTGGCTGGGTTCAGACAACACAATAGCCCACATTTCACAGTTCAGTGATAACCCACATTCCACACCCCAGCATGTGTTATTGTTTGCTGAAACCACTCAGTGCAGTGCTGGAGTGTTGGATTGGGGCTTAGCAGGCCTGAGTTACAGCCCCCATTCATGCATGAAACTCACTGGTTGACTTAGAGTCAGTCACTGGCTCTCAGCTCAACTCACATGGTTGTTGGAAGGATAAAACAGAGGGGCAGAGCTAAGTAAGCTGCCTTGAATTCCTTGCAAAAGGATAAAAGGCAGAGGATAAATGTAATAATAAGAAATAAAAGTAAATGTACTAAAATGCAGGCTGAGAAGTTAATCCATATCAATAAATCAGCCCCAGCAGTTTTTGTCTGTACCAGAAGCAGGGCTTTTGTGAAGTTACTGGGTATTAATCGCCCAGTGAAGACCCAGTCAGTCCCAAAAAACTTTACACTGCAACAGGAATACCTCATAACTATGTACCAGTCCTAGGAAAATCCAGCTCAGTCCCCCAGCTACAGAAAGAACTGGAGCTGAGCTTAGAGGGAATAGGGAAATTTGTCATGTGTGACAGATTTTACTCACATCACATAGAAGGATGCTGTAAAGAAAAGATCATGCAGCACATCCTTCATCCACTGCAAATCCACTGTGGTAACCTCTGGTCACTGCCATCCAAATGCTAGGTTGCAACAAGCCAAGATCACAAACAGAAATCAATGGATGGAAACTAACCAGGTTAAGACAACAGAAAGTAAAGGTCACCTCAGCAATTTGAATGTAATGGATTTGTAGATTATTACTACCAGTTCTGCTAACCATTCAACAATAAAGTGTTATTTTAGGAACTGAGTCCTAGAATGCCAGTAAGTTCATATTTTCATTCATTCAGTATATACCTGTTCAGTTATTGTTTTTTGCTATGGAATTTTGACTTTTTTGCCACAGCTAAACTCTGAATTAGTATACAGCACAATTTATCTTTGCCCCCTCCCCCCCGGTCCTTTTTTTTTTTTTTTAGCAACATTCTTGCTCCCTCCCTCCCTCATCTATCCATCTATTCATTCTGCTGAGCTTAGGAATTATTTCACATCTAGTCCATTGCTCTCCTGCTTAATGGCATCACAATGCAATGTGATAAAATAAAAAAGCAACACCTTACAGAATTAGGACCCAGTCTAATATCCCTAGAGGCTGCGTTTCAGATAATTATTTCTGCTGACACTGTACAGCTGTTGTCAAGTTCTTTTTCCCTCCCCCAGCTCCTCAGGAGCAACTTCGATTCTTTTTTTCAATATTCCCCCTCTGGTCACAGAAGGCTTTTGCGGGAACAGGAAGGCATGGCTTGTTTGAGATGTGATGTAACATCACTTGACAGGTGGGTTTCAGAAAACTCTCTGGAGCCATGGCCTCTTTAGTGGTTTTACCACTCTAAACTCAATTACACTGGAGTTTCACGCTCCACAGCAAACTCTGGTCCTTTTTTTATTATTAAATTACACACACACCCTCTGCAAAGTAAATAAGTCATGATGATGATATGGGTCTACCATTTAATATTCATTGAAGTACATATGTTTGGAAATTGGAAGTAGAATTTAATCCATTTTCATATGGATACCAACATGGAGCTTTCAAAAGGGAACCATATCAAGTTCTGGTTTAGATGAGATAAACAGATCATTTGTGAGCCCCAGCTTGAGGGTTTTTTATTATTTATATTTTATTGTGTATTCTGAAGTCAAAGCAAAACCAAAACCATTTTTTTAAAAAAGGGGAAAAATCAATATATTAAAACACATTATTGCCTTTACATGAAATGTAAGCAGAACTGTTACAGTGAATATGTATATACTATATGTCCCTGTATGTTGCATCTGTAGCAAGACATATTGCTATTATGAGAGATAATTATGTTTAAACTTCAACAAAGGCAGCCCAAATAGCCATGTATATATGTCCATTTGTAAACTGTGCCCTGCCCCCACCAGCTTCAGTATAACGGTGGTCCAGACTGGGACCACCATGCACAGAGAGGGGAAGTTTGAACTTTTGGTTTCCCCAAAATGAAGGGACTAAATAAATAAACGTCCATTTACATGGGTGGTTCTTTCCCTGCCACCTCTCCTTTTAGTTTGCACTGGGGTGTGTGCATGTGGGTCTGAGAGGTGCAAGGGGAAGGTTTGGGTGGGAAGGTTTAAACCTTCCCTACCTATGTATGATGGCCCTTATCCAAATCAGGGCTCCACATGTTTATACTAAGATTTAAAAATGGTCAAAATTGGCTGCAGAATATGTATTTAACATAGCCTAAGATGAGGCATCTTTGGAGTTGTATATGGCCCACAGAACTGTAGACTGAAGTACCAGCCTGGACAGTAAAATCTAACCAGGCTCTGAACAAGTCCCTACCCACCTAAACCCACCTTTTGGAAGTGCTATATAAAAGAAAGGGTTCTTTGAGCTGGGATCATGCGTGGATCATGATTAAAAGCTCTTCCTGGCTTGAGCGCACTTCTGCATGTTTGTTTGTTTGTTTATTAAAACATTTCTATGCCGCCCCATTTGCCGAAGCCTCGGGGTGGCTCACAACATAAAGTTAAAATACAAAAAATAACAATATAAAATATTGGTTCTGATTCTTGTTTATTTCTCAGCTTTGATTTCTGGCTTGCTTCTTGGTTCTGCTTCTAGTTTTGTTCCAGCATGAGCTCTTTGGCTTGACTTCCTGGCTCTTGGTTTGCAGCTTGTCTTGGACAGAGTCCTGTGGCCTCCTCAGTTGTTCTCCTCCTCTATTTCATGTAGAGCAAGGACAGGCAACTTGTGGCCTCCTAGATATTTTGGTCTTCAATGAACTCTAGCCAGCATGGCCAAAGGCAGGGGATCATGGGAGCTGCAGGCCGAAACATTCTTAGGATCATCAATTCTTCACCAGTGATGTATAGATTAATCATACATGTATAGATGTATAAAATCAAGGGAACAGGACAACACATTCTGAAGCCTGTAAGCAAAAGATTCCCCTGCTTGATGTAGCCAGCAATTTCTGAAGCAGGGAAGCGTGAGGCACCTCACACATCTAAATGCTTCCTTACTTTGGATTTGGCCCCACTAAAGCAGTCTTTCC